TTGGTCCAAATCCAAGTAAGAATCTTCAATTTCTGTGTATGAATGAGTATTCTTGTATCTTGCCTCTTGTCCTCTCTCTAAAGCTTCATTCTTGAAGATTGACCTCCAAAGACAAAGTGGGTTAAAACAAATTTGAATTACATTTCATGAGTAGAAACAAAATCTTTTCTATCGAGGTGAACCATGAGATCACATTGCGATTGCATGTCGCCTACAGGAACTCTAACAGAGGGACGTTGTGATCTCAAGGTATATACACTTTGGCTTTTCTTCAATTTGGTCCTTAAGTTTCTTATCCTTTTTCATCTCTTTTAGCCTCCTGTCACACAGTCATCATAAAGAGAAATTGGGGAAAAATGATATTTTGAATAGTGATTTTTTGGAGAATGTATAATTAAAATGTAGGAAAAAAATTTCAATTCATGTACAAAATATTTTATTGTGTGAATGTGTAATTGAAAATGAAAAGTTTTGAAATAGAGAAAGAGAAAGAGGGGCGAATGAGTCCATCAACTTTAAGTTTTATGCAATTTGATCAATGTATTGTCCTCTTCGATGGTACTATACATCCTTTCTCGAATCAAGTTTTGAAAGTTTGTAGTTTAGGCCCTAAACTTTTACATTTGTTCATCTTTCACCTTTTTGGCCCGTTTTCATTTTTTTTAAAAAATTAATAACCCTTCAACATAGCTTTTATCCTACAATAGTCTACATTAACCACATTAAGTAGTAATTCCATAGAAGTTACTTCCAAATATTCACTTTTGGAGTTTCAGATAAGTGTAAAAAGTCACTTATCAACTGACCAAACAAATTTAAATTACCTCATGTTTGTCATCTATTTTCTAAAACATGTTTTCTTCCTTCATTTTCAATCAGATGTTTCGATACTCACAGTTTTTATGAATTTTTTAATGACATGTTTTATCAAAATCTACTAAAATGTTATTAAAAACTGGAATTTATAGTTAAAGGTTTTATAAAAGTTATATGCCTAATAAAATGTATGATAAATATTAACTGTCGATTTCAATTTCAATTTTTTAGCGATTCTTTAAGGGTAATTATATTCACATTGCTTTTTTTTTTCTTTTTTATTTCTTACACCAAATTTTAATATTTTTGAAGTCTTCAATCGTTGCTTACTGTAATCCTTATGCCCTTAACTTTATTTTTCCGACATTCTTATTTTTAACATTTTATTAATTAGTACATTTCTAAATTTTTATTGATTTATGTCAAATAAGAGGTGTAAAATGACTTAATATCCAATCATATTTTTTAAAAGATAATAATAATTACAAAAGCGTGACAATGAGGACCTTAAGAAAAATTATAATGTTGTGCTACTAATAAGAATGGTGGTGTGAATATAATTACACATTCTTTATACTTTTCCGAACAAGCTTTCAGTCTATGTTTGCCATATTAGCATATGAGTTAGTGGGACGTTAAGTAAGGTGGATGAGAATCAAGTATGAAAGGTAAAGGTATCTTAGAAAAAAGTTAAAGTTTAGGGACTTAATAGAAACATAGATGGAAGTTAAGGGACTATTGGAGTATTTAACCCATTATTTTCACCTCAACTCACTTTTTACCTGAACGAACAGACCCTTGCATTTACTTTTTCACCTCACCAGCACACACTCAAAGAAAACCACCATCAACGTCGTGGAGACCAACGCCGATTAGTACGGTCCACGGCGTAGTAGTCGTGGTCACGTAACACACACGCTCTCTCCCCATCCCTCTTCGGCTTATAATTTCTTTTTCGTTTCTGTTTATTTTCTCAAGATTTTCTTTTTCGTACTTCCCATAGTTGCAGAAAGTAGAATTGTAACGTCAATTTGAAAACCCTCCGTGTCCCTGTTTTCGACCCTTGAAATTCCCCAATTTCACACACTCTGTGACTCGTAAAAATGGAGGACGATTTTGGTGCTGAAAGTTTGGAAGATGGAGAGTTATGGCTTCCTTCTGATTTTTTCTCCATGGACGATGTTCAAGCTTCAACTAAATTCAACTCGCCATTAAACTACTACTCTACCTCTAAGCCATGTTGCAGGGAAGGCTTGGCTCAGCGGTTTTCTGATTTTAATGTTCATCAACGTCCAAATTTCTCTAAATCTCTACAGGTATGGCATGCTAAACTGAAATATACATGCAATTACATATCAGTCTTTGTGTTTTTCAAGTTTATTTTGCTTTGTGGGTTGCAGGGGTTTAAACCGGAGGTTCCTTACAGGCCTGCGGTGTCGGGACCGGTTGCGTGCTTTGGATGTATTGGCGGGGGAGGTGGTACAGGGAGCAGATGGACCGGTTCTTCACCGGTTTATCCGTATCAGTTTTTGAACCCGGTTCAATCTCTGGTGAAAATTGGGGAAAAAATGAATCTATTTTATTCCTTTTGCATTCATTTCCTGTGCTGTCCTTTTCTGGTTTCGCTTTGTCAGCTTTGTACAGAGGTGGGTTTTGAGAAAGTATTAATGGTTTCGTTTCGCTTTCTGCAGCTTCACACCTTTATCGAAGCAAGACCCTGGACTTTGCAAAGGCAGCAACACCGTTCAATGCCGAACCGGGTATTGTCAATTCCGAGAAGTGGGCTAGGGGTGGGTTCTCAGGGAGGAACTGGCGTTTTTCTTCCTCGCATTTCAGCCAATAGCTCCACCACTGTCACCGGTAGAAGTCCTAATAATCAATATGCAAGAAGTGGTCATGGTGAGTTAATACTGTAATTAGGACTATTTGAATGCCAATGCTGTAAGGTTTTTATAATTAATTTAATTATTTATATTTTTGTCACAACTTTGTTTTCTTAAAATAGATAGTAGTTTTGCTCAAGTGGGCAATTTGAACGAGAGGCTGCCTTTACTTAGGGGCCGTTTAGGCACTTCACGAAGGCGTGACTTGTGTAGGCCATGGCTGGGACGTAGGCATATGTTTTTCCAGGCACTTTCAGGCAGGGGGCATATGCTTTTGCTTCTTTTTGTAGAAGAGAAGCGTGTATACCTTTTCTCTAAAAGCTCTCCCATTCTAACGAAGCAAAGCAAAGCATTTTCAGAAAATTATCCAAACCTATTCAAAAATAGCTTTTGGCTTTTCAAAAGTCATGCCAAATGGACCTAAATCTGAGTTGGGAGAGTGGAAAGCTTAGTAGAGAAAAGAATGTGACCCCAAAAGTTTTTTTACTTGGTTTTTGTTGCTTTTGTTTTGCGGCCCGGGAACAATTATTTTGCAAGAACTTATGAAAATTGAAGTATTAGGAGGGCAATATGAATAAATTGAATATTAAGCTAAGGGTCGATGAATTTAATCCATGAAGAGCTGGAAAAGAAAGTAACAGAAGGCCTCGGAGCTTTAACGATCTGGATAACTCTGCTTCTCTAGAAGTCAGTATATAAGAAAAAGACTCAATAGGTGGTTTTCTAATAAGGGAAAAATTAATTCAGTTCATCCCTCTGTTTATGTGAACTGAATGTGTTTTCAAATAAAACTATCGTCTATATAGCAAGCTTAACCTGAAGGAGTAGGGGAAAAAGGAGGGATAAAGCAATGGTATCGTGCTATTTGTTTCTGGGGTGCGATGTCTTTTATTGTACTAATGATGCACTGCTTTTTTGTTTCATGTGGGAGTGCGTTTTGCTTCTGTGTTAGCCTTAAAACTGAAAATCAAGAAGACCTAAGTACATTTTCATATTGAAGAAAAGATGGTTTGATAGTCCCTTCACAGTGGCCTTTTCACTTTGGTAAAAGCAGGGAAAAATTCAGCTAACTTCACCTTTTCTCCTTTCTAGATTTGATTGTCAAGGAGATTTGACTTTGCTTCATGCATTTCTGTAACCTATTACTATATTTCCTTCCAAGATGAAAGTAATAGAATAGCGTGATTCAAAGTAAACAAATCTTAATACCATTTGAATTAGATTAGCAAATCATGAAAGAGATGAAAACTATAAGTGGAATATCTACTGAATATTGTAAGCTTAAGGATTGAGAATACTGTGTAACTTAAAATTTTAGTGGATGATTTTCAGTTTTTGGATTTTGTCTCTGTTTAAGGGCAGAGTCATTTCTATATGTAAAGTTTTGGGTGCTTTATTCATATAGATCAGATTGCATTTTTTACGTAGGTTTCCGCTCAATAGTAGACCTCCCTCCCTGAGCTAAATTGGGTAAATGGGAAGTTGGGAGCCCAATTTTCCATCCTTGATATCTATGTATGTACATGTACTAATAAAATTTTTGTTGTTATAATAGCAGGTATGAGAAGTAAACTTGAGGTTCAACTTCCCCCTCAGAAGAATTTAGTCAAGCGAGAAGAGTGCCATGGCTATGTTCCTCCTTCGGTGAGTTTACCTAATGATCGGACTTACTGAGCTTTATTTCTCTGGCTGTGGCATGATGTAGAGGAAACTCCGTGTGTGGTTTGTTGGAGTTAAATAAAAGTAAGAGCTTCAAGAATAAGTAAAATCCCACTACGATCATTTGGATTTATATTTGTATCTAGAGAATTGGCTTTGCCTTTTTTTTTTTTATGCCGAACTATGTAAAGGGACGTGAAATTTTCAATTTTAAATGTTAATGGAATGGTTTGAATCGTCATGAACTTGACTTACTCCTCGTACAATTGTTTGACAACGTTGGTGCCAGTTGTGTACAATCATTTTGCAAGAGCTCAAGTTGTGTTGGTTCCTCATTTCCTCTGTTTCTATCCATTAATCATTGATTATGTCAATTTAATGTCAAAATTATTCGATATATGTTTATTATGTAGCCATCCAAGATTTGAAGGCTAAGAATCTTGACATTATTACTTTTTTTTAAGTCGGTAAAAAATGGCTGACTGGGCAGTAAATTTAGGAACTTTAACTATGCACATGAATTTCAACCACTAAAATCATAGGCTTTATTGCCTCTAGCACCTATTTTCAAACAAGAGGATCCTCTTCCTCTTCAATTCAACTGGGTTTGAGGGAACCTACCTTGTCTTTAATTCTCTTTCCATGTGTAGGGAGAGACGAGAGGAGGGAGGGACAGCCATGTCTCAACCGGTCGACGAGAAATCTAAACGAGGTCCATCGAATGTGTATTCCCCAACACAAGCATACCCGGCAGACCCTCCTCCCTATCGAGAGCTTGCGCCACCATATCATGGCGGTCCTGCCTACACATCGTCCAATAAAATACCATTCCCAACCACAAAGCCCAAATCGAGCAACACATTTGCTCGCGTTATGATTTGCCTTACGGTTGCATTAATCTTCGGTGTATGCCTCTTGAGCCTCATATTGTGGGTTATTTTCGGTTCAGACGTTCCCCATTTTGAAGTCCAGACGTTTTCCATTCCCAATTTCAACTTCACCCAATCAACACTAAAGGCTAATTGGGAAGCCGGGTTGAACTTGAAGAATCCAAACACGAAACTCGATATTTCCTTCGATCAAACCGAAAGTAGCCTTGTTTACAAGAATTTCATTCTCGATACATCCTCGATCGATTCTTTTCAAGTGGAGAGAACAGAAGAAATCCATATGGATACTGACTTTTTCGTGCCTGCTTCTGATGACATATTTTATAACACGGCTGAAGCCCCATGGGTGGAAGATATGATAGAAGAACGACGTAAAGGGAGCATGGTTTTTGAAGTGAGGATAATAACGACTGCTACATTTATGGCCGGGGAGTTTTGGAGAAGACAAACAACTTTGGAAGTTGCATGTGTGGAATTAAAGGTTGATTTTCCTGCTCCCACGGGTGGTGGAACCTGGAATGGTGACAGAAAAGATTGTATGCTGTATAAGTAATTAAAAGTTTCTTCCTTTTCTTACAGCAACGAGCTTTGAATGTGACGAGAAATATGCATGTTCAAACTTGGGTTCCATCTTTAAAAGGTCAAACTTGTTATCGAATTACTTGTTTAAGTTAAATGAATTCTGATACCATGTTAAGACTAGTATTTCATTTTGAAAGGTCAACCTCGTCAAGAATCCAAGTTCTTATATATTGATTTATATTTCGATATTTAAACAATGTGATTTATCGTTTAATATTACGGATAAATGCATGATATTCTTTGATACTAATAGTACGTCATGATATGGACCCTTAACATGGTATGTCAAACAAAAGAAATAAAAACAAAAGAAATAAAATGATGGGAGCTAAGAGAGTCATAATTATAATGCAAGAAATGAAAAGATTTCCTGAGGCAGTGTACATGTGAGAAGTTAGATATAGTACCCAACTCCTATAGAATGTGTGTAGACGTCAAGACCCACATAAAGCTTGAGCATAGTATCTTTAGCCCCTACATTCATCTCATGGGTGGCAATGAGCGAGGCAGCGAGCCAGGCCATGTTTCATGGGCTACCTTTCTTCTTAGCACAGAAAGGGATATTGTGCGGCAGTAGTCTGCTCCACTAGACTACCTTGTGCTTTCTCTCAGTCGTTCCCGGACGAAAGGAAATTTGATCACAATTTAAAGAACATTTGCAACATGAAATTGAAATGCATTGAACATAACTTGATCATTGATTGCTTGAAAGCTAGAAATTACAATAGACGAAAGCAGAAAATTACAATGACTAGTGCAGGGGATGAACATTAGAAAGCTTGAAAGATGTTTGAAAGACTAATACCCCCTATAATAGACTCAACAACAAAAATCCATCTGACTGGAGTAGACGTTTAAAGTCTCTAGAATTATACTAAAATTGTTTAATTTCCAACTATTTTACAATTAAATGAAATATTTACAATGTGTGACCGAAGTTGGGCAAACTGCGGCTGCGATAGGGTCACGGGGCTTAAGTAAAGCTGCGATCAATGACATTCTCCCCCATTTGCTCTGGCGACGTCCTCAGAGCCCTTAATGAATGATATGCTTAATAGTTTAAAAGCTTCAAGGTCTTTTCCATTTGCCCAGTTATTCTTTTCGCTGTTACATCCGCTTTATTTGACCAAGTACTTTTGAAGATAGTTCTTAGAAGCTTGAATAGTATGATGGCCAAGAATCTCTGTTGTATGAGGGAGTAACGACTACTGGCCAGTAGTAATCTTGAAAGAACTCTTATTGGGAGAAGAGCTCTTTTGAGATTGAAACACATCCGAGCCGTATCCAAGAGTTTTACCCAAATTTTCTGTGAAGTAGAGATAAAGTGCTGAAGATAGTCTTCCAGCATAGATTTGAAGTGCTCCATCTGTCCATCATATAATGGGTGACAACTAGAACTCATGCTCAAAGTTGAACCAAGAGGCTTGAACAACTTGGTCCAAAGTACGCCAGTAAATTGAGAGTCCCGATCACTGACGATGTTCTTAGGCAGTCCCCAATATTTAACAATATGTTTTAAGAAGAGTTGAGCTGTCTCTTCGGCTGATACATACTTGGGCGCTGTTGTAAAAGTTGTCTCTTTAGATAAGTCGTCTATCACGACAATGATAGTGCCAAAATCTCCGACTTTTGGCAATCTACCAATATAGTCCATCGACATGCTTTCGAATGGTCTGTTTGGGACGGAAAGGGACTTCAGTAAGCCTGCACTTTTCTGATGATCATTCATATCTTGCTGACAACTAAGATAAGTTTTCACATAACTTGCATTATCATCCCGCCTTTTGGGCCAGTAATTTGCAAGTTGTAGTAGTGCAGAAGTGTGATCCACGATAGTCCCACTTCCGAACATTTCTCCCAATTATTTCTGAAATTCTTCAAGTTTCGGCTGAGACATACGGTATGGTACCCTGATTGGAGGTTTGGCACCCAGAACAAATTCAATCTCTCTTCTTGGTGGTAATTTCTTTGGTAACTCCTTCGGCTTAATGTCCTCAAATTCCTTAACAAACCATCTGACAGGCTTTGGAATCGGACCAGTCGTCTTTTCGATCCCTTCTAATCGAAGAGCCCACAAAAACGATCATTCCTCTTGAAACCCTTACTATATTACATGGTTGAGATACCCCTCTCACTTGTTTTCCAAACTTGTGTGGGGATAATGCATAGTGTACTACCCATCATTATTAGTAACTCGGAATGCAGCAACACGGTTGTTCTTGTATCTCGAAGAAATTCCAATCCTAGAATGAGCTTGAAATCATCCATCTGAACTGCGAACAAGTTCGTCCTTCCTTCGAAGGGACCTACCTTGATTGACACAAATTTCGCTACTCCCGCTATTGGTTGAGAAGTAGAGTTGATTGCTTTAACTTTCAACTTACCTCTCTCTCTAGAGCAAGTCCGAGCTTCTATACTTCAGCACTTACGAAGTAGTCGTGGGTAGCACCAGTATCTATCATAGCCGTGATTGGCTTCCCATTGATCTTCAAATCAATGTACATTAGGCCTTTCGCCCTGCAATTGTGAGCCTTCGATTCTTCCATCTTCAACTCTTTTAAGGGACTATCTTCCCTTTTAGTGACTTGGTGCGATAGTGTATTGTACCGATGTGAGAATGCACCAACTACATCCTCATCTTCTTCGGAGTCGGTCTCTCCATGACATACTAGCTTGTGGGGTACCTTGCTTTGATTTGGTTTCGCCACTTGCTAGTTGGCAATATGCATTCACCATCCATTTCTGAGGACACTCCGCAATTCGATAGGGTCCTTCACATAAAAAGCACTTCAATTTAGGACTGGCATCAGATCTGCCCTGCTTTGCTTTTTCTTGGTTCCAGTTGTTACTCTGACGGTTGCCTTGATATACTCCTCCCCGATTTTGAGAGTAACGCTCTCCCCCATTTGAGCTCGAGCTGGGTCTATGAGGTCTAGGGCTGTAAATAGATCGGATTTACCTATATCCGATCCGATCCAATAAGAAAATTTATTCGATCCGATAATCCAGTGGATATTTAATTGCTAAATCTACGTCTAATTTGCAATGTTATCGGATAATCCGATCCGAAATTAATAAAAATTAGGAAAAAATTTTTTTGAACTAACTTGAAACCCACCTATTTTTCTTAGCAAGCCCAATAGTGACTTCTGCCACCATGATATTCCTTTTTAAAAGAGAGACCATCTTCTATTTTTCCATTGACATTCGATGTGGGATAATATAAAATTGAATTTCAATTCTAAATATAAATATTTTATTTCATTATTTCCATTAATAAATCATATTATTTGTTACATATTAATTATTAGTTTTTGAAGTTGTAAAATAAATTACAATAATAAATTTAATTAAGAAAAATATAGATATTTATTAGTTTTAAATTAGTAAACTAAAATTAGGAAAACATTGGTTGAAGTCAACTTTTTAAAAAAAAAATTTTTCCGATTATTAAACAAGTTTAATAATTATAATTTTTTTAAAAACTTTTTTATGTTTTGAATTTGATTATTTTTTATTCTAAATTTATTTATTTTCTCATTTATTTATTTTAGTGACAATAATATGCCATAAAAATATTTTACTGACTCAATTATTTATAACAAATCGGATCGGATTGTTATCGGATCGGATTGACCTATATCCATATTTGATCCATTTAGTTAACGAATTATTGAATTCGAATCTTGATCGGGTTATCGAACTGAGACTCTAAATCCATCTCCCATTAATTTCGTCGGATTCGGATCAAAATTCAATCCATTGACAGCCCTGATGAGGTCTATTTCCACATCCAATAGACTGACTATTTCCTGAAGGTCGATCCTCTCTCGATTCTGGTTGATAGTCACTCAAACATTCGGTAGCTCCCATAGCTACGCTTAAATCGGTGACCTTCTGTCTCTGAAGTTCTATGCGTGTCCACGGTTCCAATTCTTCCATAAAGGTGAACAGCTCATCTTTTTCCAACATATCTCGAATATTTAGCATATGTCCTGAAAATGCTTTCATATACTCCTTGATGGAGCTTGTGTGTTTCAGTTCTCGTAAGGTTCAACGTGCCTCATATTCCAAATTCTCTGGAAAAAGTTGAGATCTGATTGCTTCCTTAAGAAGATCTCAAGAATCTATTCGGACCCTGTTGGCCTGAATATCAGCGTACTTTGTCAAACATCATAGTTTTGCATTTCCACCTAGATACATGGTAGCTATTGTAACATTTCTCTCTTCTTCTTAAATCGAAGCCGCAAGAAAGTATTGTTCTATATCGAACAAGAATTTCTCAACTTCTTTAGCATCGCGTGCAGTATACGATTCTGGAATTCTGAGCCTATGCACAAACTCTTGTGCGGTGGCTTGCCCATTGCCAGCCACGTGTTGAAGCACTAGTAACTGAGCTCTTAACGCTCCCATTTCATCCTGCAGATCAGATATGATAGCAACACCTTCAGTCATTGCTTTGCAAACTGTTCGGCTTTCACCCAGTTGGGTGTTTAATTCACGAATCTCCGCCTCTGCCGCCTCGACTCTTTCATCGATACTCTCCACGGCATAGCACAACCTAGCAATTGTCATCTCAAGCGCATCCACATGCTGTTTCGTGTTCCTCTTTTGAGGATCTACCACCTCCGTGGTGTTCGATTCTATTGGATCCATGGCTTTCTTATCGAGGGTCTCAAGCCGCAGCTCTGATACCAGCTTTCACGGGTTACCTTTCTTCTTAACAAAGAAAGGGACACAGTGCGGCAGTAGTCTGCTCATCTAAACTACCTTCCGCCTTCTCTCGATCGTTTCGGGATGAAAGGAAATTTGATCAAAATTTAAAGAAAATTTGCATCATGAAATTGAAATGCATTGAACAAACTTGATCATTGATTACTTGAAAGTTAGAAATTATAATAGAAGAAAGTAGGAAATTATAATGGCTAGTGCATGGGGCGAACACTAGAAAGTTTGAAAGGTGTTTGAAAG